CACTGCCTTCTCACAGGCATTGTTTCATTTCCCTGTATGTAATGTACTTTCTTAAAACACTTCAGAGATTTTTTTTCGGGGGTGGGGGGGGTGTTACCATGGATTGAACCGAGAGGTGCTTAACCACTAAGCCATATCTCCAGCCCTTTTTATTTTATTTTGAGACATGGTCTTGCTAAGTCGCTTAGGGACTCATTAAATTGCTGAAGCTGGCTTTTGAACTTGTGGTCCTCCTGCCTCAGCCTCCCAAGCCACTGGAATTACAGGCATGTGTCACTGTGCCCAGCTAAAGATGTTCTCAAGCAATTGAATTATGATATGACTTGGGATTATTTTGCGTGTCTGTGTTTAAAGTTTGTTCTTAGATCTATGAACTTATAATTTTCATAAAATTTGAAAAAATGTGAGCCATTTTTTTTTCTTTCAGCATTGTTTTCTGTTGCCCCGTCTCTCTCCTTTCCTCTCAGGATTCAAATGACAAATTTTATATTTTAGGCTGCTTGAGGTTTTCCAACAGTTCAGGAATGCTGCGGGTTTTGTTGTTTAATCTTTTTTTCAGTGTTTTATTTTGATACCTTCTGTTGCTGTCTTCGGGTTTAGTATCATCTCTTCTGCAGTGTGCAGCCTGTTGTTCATCCCATTTGGTGTAATTTTCATTTCAGAAATTTATTTTTTTTTTGTGTGTGTATGGTCCTAAGGCAGAAAGTTAATTTTAATCTGTAGAAATTTGATTTGGATCTTTTTTGTACACCTTCTGTGTCTGTCCTTACCATATTTATCTGTCTTAGGTCTGCTTCTTGAATCTATGGATTTTAATAAGCATTTCAATATTTCTCTACTAATCCTATTATTTGTATCATTTCTGAATCTGTGTCTTTTGATTGATTTCTTTCCTTATTATACATTGTATTTCTTGCTTCTTTGTATGCTGATTTGTTTTTTGCAGTGTTGGGGAGCAAATGTAGGACTTTGTGTGTGCTAGGTAAGTGTCCCATATCCCTAGCTCTAATCTGGTAATTTTTTACTAGAAGCCACATAGTGTGAATTTTATGTTCTTGGGTGTTAGATTTTTAAGAATTTCTATAAATGTTTTTTAATTCTATTGTAGGATCAGCTAAATTATTTGGGAAGAATTTGATTATTCCAAGGCATACTTTTAAGCTCTATTACAAAGGACCAGAAAATCTTTAATTTGGTCCCACTACTGAAGTGATTTCCTTCTGGATGCTCAGCCTAATTTTCTGCATATTATGAGATGTCTTTACTCTTGTGTTGAAAACATGACATTTCCATCCCTGTCTGAGCTTTAGGAATTATTCTACCTGCTCCTCTGCAGTGGTTCTTTACTTGGACTTGGGGAGTTTTCTCACAGGCATGTGATTCAACTCTTCCATGAAGATCTGAGAACCCTCTCCATGTTGCCAGGGCCCTCTTTGCAGCTCTATCCTCTCTGATAACTCACTTTGTGAACTCTAGTCCCATTGGCATTCCCGAATTCTCAACTCAGCTCCCTGAGACTGCTGTACCCTTTGGGTTCCCCTCTTGCTTGGGGCAGTTTGTCAAAGCTTTCTTTCTTTTCCTCTATCAGGTATTATTGCATTATGTCTTTTGTCTGAAATGATCATTTTGTATATTTTGTCTAGGAATTTTTTATAAGATGGGAGAGTCAATCCCGTCTGTTGTTCCATCCTACATATGCTAAAGCAGAAATCCCTGTAATTGTACTTTTTTTTTTTTTTACCATACGATTTATTTTTATTTTTTTAGTCATACATGACAGAATATATTTTGACATATAATACATACATGGAATTACATACATCAATCATATTGTCTATTCTATTCTGCCCTTCCTATCCCCCCTACTCCTCCCCTCCTCTCCCATCTTTTCTCTCTTTCCAATCTAATGTGACACACTTTTTTTTTCTTTTTCTCATCACAACATCATATATGTATTCTGTATAACAATGAGGTTCTCCTTCCATCTTCTGTGCAACTCCCCTTCTCCCTCTTTTTCCCTCCCACCTCTCTTCCCTATTTAATGGTAGTCTTCTTCTCATGCTCTTCCTCCCTATCCTATTTTGAGTCACCCCCCCTTATATCAGAGAAGACATTGGGCATTTGTTTTTTAGGGATTGGCTAACTTCACTTAGCATAATGTAATTGTACTTTTAAAATTCTTTTCTATACAACTTCCCTGAGAAGCTAATACTTGAGCAGACTTTTTGAAGAATCTTTTGTTTTAATTTTCAAGTATTAACAGTCCTTTAAAAAGGACATTTTCTTTCTTTCTTTCTTTTTGGTACTAGAGATTGAACTCAGGGATTCTCTACCACTGAGCCACATCACCAACCCTATTTTGTATTTTATTTAGAGACAGGGTCTCAATGAGTTGCCTAGAGCCTTGCTTTTGCCGAGGCTGGCTTTTAACTCACAATTCTCCTGCCTTAATCTCCCTAGCCACTGAGATTATAGGCCTGAGCCATTGCACACAGCTAAAAAGACTTTTTCTTATTGAAAAAAATTTAGGTGTATTTGTTGAAGATTTCAAAAAATAACTTCTATTCTTATTATGCAGTAGTCAAAGAATATAGCTTTCCCATTTTTTCTTTTTGAAATAATAAATAGATTTCTTTGTGGTCTAATAAGGTTGCATTTTGTGATTTCTTTGAGTACATCTTTAAAAATAATTTTTAAAAAATGGTACTTAGCAATTCAATAACCAAACTATGGAACTAGACTGGGAGTCATACAATAGAGTTTTATTCAGCCATAAAGAAGAACGAAATTTTGTGTCAAGCAGGAAAATGGATGGAAGTTGAGATCATTATGTTAAGCGAAATAAGCCAAACTCAACAGGTTAAGGGTTGTATGTTCTCTTTCATGTGGAAGCTACACAGGAAAAAAGAAAAGAAAGGTGGGAATGGGGAGAGGGAGGTATAAGGAGCAGTTTTCATGAAAACTGAAGGGAGGGAAGAGAAGACAGAGAAAATACTGGGGAATGATACAAACATGTAACAATGAATCCACCATTATGTATAATTATAATGCACCAACAAAAAATATGGGGGAAAATAGTACTTGGTAGGAATCAAATACACAATCATATGTAGTTAATCTTATATACATATATATACACACCCACACCCCCCCACACACAAACACATGCACATGTATTATATATAATTTTTGTTTAATTTATATGTATATTTGTGGTATTGAGGATTGAACCCAGGGTCTAGGCAATCATTCTACCACTGAGCAACATTTCTAGCCCTATATGTTTTAAACTCTTTAATTTTGTGACTTTGAATCTGCTGTAAACTCATGTAAAGTTTCCCAATTTTAAAATGAGTTTTAAAAAAATTAACCTTGTAGTTATTCTCAGAACCAATCTTACAAATTCTGAGTTTCTTTGTATTCTTTGGAATATAACTCACAATATTAGGTACTTAATATCCCTTGCTGATTTAGGATAATCATTATTTAATTTCTCTTTAAAAGTAGGAAATAAAATTTTGCAAAGCTACTGATTGAAAAAATAATTAGCAGAGTTATTGCTAGACTTCTTTGATGCCTATTTCTTAGGTGTTAATAACCAAATTACTGCATAGTATATTTAAATTCTAAAACACTACTTTAAAGGAACCAAATTTAAAAATATATATTTTAAACCCAAATTGATTTGCTTATTTTTTCTTAAGGTGTATAAACAACTATTTACAGATTTTTCTTTAACCTTAAACTTATATTCTTTAGAGATATTTTAGTTTTGCAAAGGATAAGATTACTGTGTTACTTAATAATAGATCTAATAACTACTCTGTTAGCTTTGTAATTGGAAGATTTGTTAGAAGGGTTCAAAATTTTGTTTGAAAACTGAGAGTGGAAGGGGGAGAACCTCAAAGTCTTTGGGGCTAGAATGGAAATCTGAAGCATCTCTGACCAGCTTCCAATACAGAACAAGCTGTGCACCTTGCCTTCTAATTCTGAAGAATCCTGCAAATGCCATCTAAACCTGTCAGCCACGTTCCCACTCAATTCCTCATCCCCAAACTTAAAGAAATTTTCAATTTTAAGGGATTTTTCTCTATGATTATAGATGTAAATTAATGTTTAAATGTTTTTTTGTAGCCTTATAATTCTCATTGAAGAGTTAAAATGCATCCTGACCAATAGTGCATAGAGGGGAAAAACTTTCTTTCCAAATGAAATAATGACATGTAGTTTGCACAGACATGATTAAGCTGGTCTAAATGTTAAATAACCTTTTTTAATGTCAGTATTTTTCTGGGTTCTTTACAATTTTTCCTTTATAAGTGCAAATGTTGGTCTGAGTTTCAAAACATATTAAAAATTCATTAAATTTTCATAAAATTAAACTGTTAAAATTAAATTATAAATACCTTAGTCAAAAATCTTCTTTGCTTTTTTATATTTCAAGATTAAGTTCATAGTGCTTTCATGTTTACTTGCTCCACTTTCTTATTACGATTGGAGAAGGAGAAGAGCAACTTCCCCGAGGAGCTAATACATTAGCAGATGAATGCTATTATTACTACCAACATACCTTTGTTGGAAACCTTTATTTACATTTTTTACCAAGATGGTCAAGCCAGTTTAATCAGTTGACAAAACTTTATGCATGAATACATTTAAGATTTACAGAGTAAAAGTGATGAAAATTTTTTGTTTATTCTTAGAATTTTTCTTTTTTTTGCCCAAGAATTAATTTTGCCTCAGCTTAATTGCATTCCTGTGACATTACACAATCGGGGAGGGAAAAAAGAGGGAGCTGTGACTGTGTGGTATGTATCGAAAAGTGCATGTTAGAGGGAGAGGAGGACGAATAAGCAAGCTGGTTTGACCAGAAACAGAACTGCCTGTGACAGATTAAGAGACAAGCAAAGCTTGGAATCTGAGAGCAAGCAGAGTGGAAATTTACAGCCGCTCTATGCGATTTCTGCTAACGTTTTCCCGTGGTAACTGTTAATCTTCAGAGAGAGAGAGGCAGAAAGTCAAGTAGGAATTGTGCAAACTCTTCTCTGCAACACTTTGGTAATAAGGAGACATTCTCTAATAAATGGAAGAAAAAGGTTACTTCTTCTAAAGTGCTTTGAGCCCAAGAAAGAGCTGTCTTCAGCACCTCACCATGTGTCTACTTTCTGTTGCGTAGACAAGCCTCGTTTCTATACCATTTGGTGAGTAGCAACAAGGTTATCTATACCAGTTTGGGATGTAGAAAAGGAATTAATGTGGGGCTTCAATTTTTACTTTTCCACAGTTATTGCTTATTTTATTTTAAATTATGCTGTTACCTTATTTCTTTTGCATGATGAACTGCTGTTACTAGGAGAGGTTTGCAAAAACAACAACTACAAAACAATACTTCTCTGTTGCCTAAGGCACTTGAACCTTTACCAACTATTCTGTGTCCATGGAATATCTTATTTTGGAAATGAGTTTTTATTTACAAAGAGTTTCCAAAAATAAAATAGTGGCATTATACCAGTTTTTGTGTTTCTCTTTTAACTGCATGAAAATTCAAAAGTTAGCCTTTTCTGTATATCATCAGTTATCATACTGGTGTCTAGTTTTATAAGTTATTATAAATTACATCATTCCCTCAATTCATAGTATTGTATACCATTAATTAAAAGGATATAATTTAAATGTTGAATGCTACTGTGAGATCCAGTAGTGACACCTGATTTTTTCAAAGTTCTGTAAGGAAAATAAAAATTAAACAATTTACCAGTAAAATTTACTATTGATATAAAATGAATGCACATAGATTTCTAAGTTAAGGAATAAAAAAAGCAGTTATTTTGTTCTTATAGCTGCTACCAAGCTCTCATACTCATTGTTCTGCTGAAGAACTATTATAACTAGAAGAACAGAGAAAAGAAAAATACATTCTTAAAATATTTACTTTAATGCCAATAAAAACCTTCATTTATATAATCTCTAGATAGATTGCATGCTATATATTTTTAAAGGCATCAACAGAAAGCATGTAATTGTTCTATAGGAGGAAGTATATGTATTGTTAACTACTACATTGAATCATTGCATACAGATGTGCCATTCTAAGCAGAGTTTCTAATCTACCCTTAAAGGCTTGAAGAAACATATGTCCTTAGTTACTGATTCAAGTGAATCCTTTAAAGCAGAATGAATTAGCTAAAAGGAAAACTTTGGCAGAGTATCAGCAAAATGTATTAAAAGGGTCTGCACCCTAGATATAAAGTGGCTGTACGTTCCCTAATATCTCCTCTAGGTGTATAGAAGCCTGTAAGACAGGTTTTGTTTTGTGGAATTTTGTGGGGTTTTTTTCCCTCTGCCTATTGACCTATATATAAGAAGCAACTCACTTAGCTGGTCTGTAGAAACCTTTTCTGGACTAATATCTTATACTTAAAGTCCAAAGTAAATATAAAAGACATATCACAAACAAACTTTTACTTCTTTACATAATTTCCCACACTCAGTTCTTGGATAGAAAATTTGCATTTAGCTTGACAATCTTCAGAAAATTTTATTTTAAAACTAGTCATTAAATAGGATTACCTTAGAGATGGCACCATTTCTTAAGCCTACAGGCATGTAAATATAGACATAAAGAATAAGTCATCCCTAATTTACAAATGCTTTGTATTTCAGAAGTTTGTGGGCTGTTGGGAATTTGGAACTCATTTTGCCTGGGAAACAACATATCAAATGGCTGCTGGGCTTTTATTATAGCCTAAGATCATATTTTATCCATACTATAGAAAGACCATTGCCACCTTAGGAGAGATTAGAAAATCTACACTAGTGATGAAACTTAATAAAACAAGAAGACATTATTTTTATTTATCCTAAATATTAATGCTTGAAGAAAAACAAGTTTAATAAGAGTTGAATAGTATTTTGAAAGATGATTATATATAGGATTTCTAATTACGTTCACATGCTTCCAAGTTGATCGCACTGTTTATGAGATTCAGGGATTTCTTTTCCTTGCTACAGGAATATTTCCAACTGTCGCTTTCTTGCTTAAACATTCCTGAGGTGGAGCCCAGCGAGCAGCACATAGTAGGCAACTAATAATAGTCAGTATGTGGGAACAGTACTGTTTCTTTGATTTACAAAAAAAGAAATGAAATAGCATTCCCAAGGTATCCAAAAAGATAACAGGATTTAAGGCCACAGATTTTTTTTTTCATTAAGAGAAAGAGATGGGGGCTGGGGCCATAGCTCAGTGGTAGAGTGCTTGCCTGGCATGTGTGAAGCACTGGGTTCCATCCTTGGCACCTCATAAAAAAATAAATGAAAATAGGGCTGGGGTTGTAGCTCCATGGTAGAGCGCTCGTCTCCTATGTGTGAGGCACTGGGTTCGATTCTCTGTACCACATATAAATAAACAAATAAAATAAAGGTCCATCAACAACTAAAAAAATTTAAAATAAGTAAATAAATGAATATAAAGGTCCATCAACAGCTAAAAAACATACTTAAAAAAGCTGCTAATGGGGCTGGGGTTGTGGCTCAGCTGTAGAGTGCCAGCCTCGCACGTGTGAGACCCTGGGTTCGATCCTCAGCACCACATAAAAATAAATAAAAATAAAGATATGTGTCCAACTAAAAAATAAATATTTTTTTAAAAAACCTGCTAATGTTAAAAAAAAAAAGAGATGGCCTAACAAGAATTGACTGAATTGTGAGATGTGAACAAGACAAAAGTAGGACAGAAGCTGGGCACAGTGGCACTTGTCTATAATCCCAGCGACTTGGGAGGCTCAGGCCCTAAGCAATTTAAAAGAAAGAAAGGAAGGAAGGAAAGGAAGGAAGGAAGGAAGGAAGGA